GTACAGCAAGCCATGAAGGCTATAGGACATAATTGTAGCTTAGATGCGGCAGGAGCAAAGCGAGTATAGCCTCTAAGCTAGGTTATGTACGGCAGCCGTATGGCTTGCTGAGAATTCGAATTTACTATTTCAGCTGACAGCTCCATAGTTCCGGCATTCTGCCTACACTATTGGAGCTTATTATTATTGTTGCTCTCACTTCCCCCCCCCCGCCCTCAGTGTCCCTCGTTTATAAGCGGCAGGCTCGGCCCAGTTGGAGACCGGTGATTAGGCAGTCCCCTCGGAGCGCCGGACGTGCAGCTGTACAGCGATTACCGCACGGCAAATAAGTGCCTATAGAGTATCGTCGCGCGCTAGGAATGTCGCCTGGCCAGCCCCGCTGGCCAGGGTGTGGTTCGTGCGTCGCTGACGCTTCAGGTTTGCCCTCGGGGCGGGTGACCAGTGGACGCAGTCATTAATGCTGCGTTTAGTTGTCTAGTGCTGTGCGTCAGTTCTTTCGGCCGTGCCGGTGTGGCCGCGCTGGACAGCGCTGCGCGCGCTCAGACCGCGCCGTGTGGCGCTAGACCGCGCTTCGGCGCACACGCGCCCTGGCGCTCCGAGAGCAGCAATTAGTACTCTGCAGTAGTGTAAGGCCCTTGGCAGCCCCGGTTTCGCCTCGCCCTGTCCTATCCGACACCCCGAACGCAACCGTACAGCAAGCCATGAAGGCTATAGGACATAAATTACAATCTAAAGAATCGTAAGCTTTAGCAACATCCAAAAGAGACGTGATTGGCCTGTCCTGGCCGTAAGGTGCGGCAGGTGCCGCAGGAAACGAACATGCACCTATCAACCGTTCCGGCAGGAAGGCGGACTGCTCGAGCGTGGTCGGCCTAGTACTGGACCCAGCCGACGAGCGACAAGATTGGGTGTCGGCTTCAAGGAAGCCGGAAAACGGGCGGGGCCCCTCAGCATCCGTACAGGCCGGTAGCAAGGGTGGCAAGTGTGACAATTGATGGGTAATGTCAACATGGTGGTTTGTGTCAGAAATGTATATATTTCGAGCGATTTCGGGACTATTCCGTCGCACAGGCACCGGCGGATTCGTGAGCATCGCCTGCGTCCATCCTGGGTGCATGCCACATCGACATCCGGGTGCATGCCGCATGGACAGTACGGCAGACCGCAAACGGAGCCGTTGCTTAACATATGAAGTCCGGTGCTGTCTGTGATGTTTAGGTCTTGAAGCACCAGCGGCTACAGGAAAGCACCCCACTGCCGCATGGCTTTGTAATAATTAAACAGATAAGAGCGGCAGAGTGCAACTCTTCGGAGGCCCCGTGCATTGGCCAAAGTAAATGTACAAACAAGCAGCAACAGAGAAATGAAAGCAAATTATGTTGGCCTGCTGGTGGCAAGTCGGATTGCCCATGCCGGCAAATGGTAACACAAGCTGGGTGTTCGAGTTATCATACGCCGTCATCTCAGAATTCCATTATGAGATACGCGGCAGCTTTCGGGATGAAATTTAGCGCGAGAGGCGTTGATGTGACTTTTGAGGTCGGTGAATGGAGGCAGCTAAACTTGTTTGTGCTCATACGGTCTTTGTTAGCTACATGCGAGATACCTTGCAATAGAGAATGCTGTATAGTACCGATAACGCGTTTCAGCCGGGTGAAATATTATGTTTGGTCCGTTACACACACACACACACACACACACACACACACACACACACACACACACGGACATGGGCAATCCTACAGGTCGGGGCCCCCCTGGGCGCTTCGCGCTGGGGCCCCGCCCAAAAATTTTGGCCAGAATCCTATAGTCTATGCCCAACAAAGTAATCCGCCGATAACTACCCGGGGAAGTGGGAGATCCCCGGTTCTTATGTATGGCCGTGATGACGCCTTCCAAGAACCCAACTGGGGGCATTTTGGTTTTGACCAATGGCTGTGTAAAGTACAGCAAGGACTGGCGTCATCTCATTCCGACACATCTTGTATATTTCAATCGGGATACTATCTAGACCGGGTGCTTTGCCTGGCGTAGCTTCCTTGGCGGGATTGATACATACACTTAATTTATTTATTCCTGTATGTAGCGCGCCGCCGTCGCTTTCGTGGCTCCTTTGCAACGCTCTTGCAATGATTATTTCCTGGCTAGTAGTAACCGCATCGCCCTTCTATTCAGTGAAGTCCTGCATACGTACCTCCAACATGTCGTCACGACAATGTCCAAAGAATTGGGGTCCGTTTGGCTGACACGGTACTCGACGATGCCGGCACGGAAGTGCGTCGACCTCACTTCACCGAACTGCGCAATGAGCGCCAACACTAAAACCGAAAGGAGATATGCCGTTCCTCGTGATCGTCGCATCGTCGCTATTTCAAATATTGATTAATTTTTGTTATGGATATGACGGTGAGATGATGTGATATTAATAGTGCCGATATGAGTGAGCGATGTATCAGGCACCAGCATCTCCGTCTCCTGGTGCCACTATTCCGTATCCTCTCATATAAACAGAAACACTTCGAATTTATCCGTCCGTGGTGCAGTACATGATAACTATGCTGCCTGCAGCAACCACTCGTCCATCACATGTCCGTTCTCGTTCGTTTTAAACACTTTGATAGTCTATAGACCTTCAATTCTCAGGCCTGCCTTGTTATACTCGTATCGGCCAGACGTCCTGATAGCTCTTTGTAATCTTGATTTGGAGCCTGTCTGCCGCACCGCGTTGGGTGCAACCGCTCTTGAAGTTGCGCGCGTGCCCTTTTGGTTGTTCATTTGCCAGGATTAAAGCAATTACCGTAGTGCCAATAAAAAATGGTGACGCACACTTGGGATGCCGTATGTAGCATGCGTAATGTGGAAGGGAGAAGGAGAGGGGAAGGGAAAAGGAAACGTTGCGAAGCCCTGTCGGGGGTGCCTCGGATGGCCGCAGCCCCCCAGAAAATGCTTTTTGGGATTTCGGCATGCTACTAAAGTTGGTGATGCACCTCTTGGGGCTGTTGAAATGGGGGACGGAATGAAGGCGAGAGGGGATTGGAAAAGAGGGAGTGAGGAAGAATCGGCTTATGCCCGGAACGGCCTTCACTGGCCTGCCTTGCTTTGTGGCAGTGAAAATGGTGATCAGGCACGGCCAAAACGTGAACGGTACGGCCGGCTTGTTATGCGGCCGTCACCAATATTCGTCACACAGTTGCAAAACGACCTCCGGGCCGTCGAAAATTGCAAGAATCATTGCAAAATTTCTTAAGGCCGTCGCCAAATTTTCCGTCATCAGTTTTTACGGCACTACGGATTTTTATAACTTTATATTTATAACTTTATATTTATAACTTTATATTTTTATAACTTTATATTTATAACTTTATTTTTATAAGCTTTATAACAACTAGGGGGCCGGCTTTTCAAAGCCGAAAAGGGGCTCGGCCCCGGTGCAGCCACTTGACCCCGTTTAATTCGCATGGCAGTCCGTACGGCATAGAAGTGCAAGCACAAGAACGCCGCCATGTTTGGAGTACACACTTGTTATTGTAATTCTCAAACAATAAAGGTCGGCAGACTTGCTATGGCGGCGTAGACCTGTCTGGATCGTCGCAAGCGTGCAGCCGCCATAGCATAATCATTATTGACGGAACAATTAGCCTTCTTGTGATGAGGCAATCCGTAGAATGACATACACACAAAGCGCCTTGAACTGTCAGCCAGCAGACCGAAGGGCCGTCTGGCTGGCAGTTCAAGGCGCGCAAAAGTGCCCGTGCTTCATGGACCAATTGTTGTCCCCTCCCAGCCCGAACGCATTCGGGGATCGTTCCAATTGCACACTTTGAAGTCGGAATGCAGCGGCAAAGCTGATGGTGTGTCGCAAAGGCACACTTCGTTTAAACTTGGATTGAATGAATGAAGAAGAGAATAAGAAGGATAACAATCAAACAGGCACGACATGCTAGGAGGGAGGTGCTTAGAGCGTTGCCATGGGTCAACAACAGCCCCCCCCTCTCCCGCGCCCTCTGCTGGGGGGCCGGCCGCGGCCGGGGCGGATCGGCTGGTCAGGGGCCGCCGCCGCCGGCGGGGACGCGGGCGGCAAGGCGGCCGGCGGATGGGGGCTGCCGACATGGCCCGCTGTGGGGGCTGGCACCTCCGCCTGCGCAACGGCCCGACCTGGGCGGCCCCGCCCTCCTCCGCCAAACTCGGAGCCATGGAAAGCTATCTTTGTCGCGCTCCGATTTATCTGGAATATCTCCTTTGGCAGGTGGATGTAGTATGGATATAGCTTCTATATTCAATCTTTTGCGGAGCGAGATATATAACTTTATGTCAAACTCGGAGCCATGGAAAGCTATCTTCGCGCTCCGATTTAATTTTAATGTCTCGTTTGGCATTTCGATATAGGGTGGATATAGCATTCAAACGCTATTTTTTGCGGGGCGAGATATGTAAGCCACGGACTGACTAACTGACTGACTGACAGCAGTGAACGAAGCTCGGCCCCCCGAATGGCGCTTCGCGCCCGGGGCGTCGCCCAAAAAAGCAAAACAGTTATGGAACCTATTACGAGTTTATGGAACCATCGGGCTAGGCTAGCATATCAATAGTGCTTGAATGTAAATGCTCGTCGCTCCGTACCGGACTAGCATGAAGTGGGCCTTTGCGTCTAGCCGTACACCCGATCGCAATGTTTAATCAGGCCACACCACATCCCAGTGTGCTTAATGGGTGGGTGGGAGGGTCTTCGGCTGGTCCGCAAGTTTTAGGTCTTGGGTCCGGAGCGGCGGTAAGTACTTGTATTTATGACAAGGAAATTTATTGGCTTCCCTTGCGCCTTACTGTGGTCTCCAATGCGCGTGGTCGATTTACGCCCTGTTCGTCTGCCTCCTTGCATCTCGGCTGATCTCTTTCTCCTTAGGCTTAGATTATTAAAATGTAATCCACTGATTTCCGGTTGTCCTGGATGTGGGACCATTTTTGATGCGTTTCCGTACCGCTGTCGTGCCCAGATCAATGACTTTGCCTTTCTCGGCACTGACGCGACTAGCTCCGTGCCGCCTTCCTTTGTTCCTGGGCGGAGCTTGCGAGGCGTGCTGAGGTGTCGCCGTCCGATTATGTTGTACTTTTGCGCTCCCTGTGAGACTGGCCCGGCTCTCCGCAGGTCCCTCTTCACACTCGCGGCCTCAGCCTTCCCGGGTGTCCGCTTTCCCGGGCTGGGTTATCGGCTCCATCTCTCGAGTCCCCTCCTTTGGCGCCATCTGTGGGTTATCTGCTTGCTGCCACCTGTTCCGTGTGCGGTGTTGGCTGACTCTCCTGTCTCGGTGCTTCCCGTAGGATTTCTTTCCTGGCCCTGGGGTTGTCGCCGGTGCCGCCGCCGCCTCTGCCGGAGCCCCCGTTGGCCGGTCTTTTCCGCTGGGTGTTCCTGCCCAGGTTGGTAGGGAATGTCCGTTGGCTGTTGGCCTGCTCTAGCGCTCTCCAAAGCAATTCTCTCGTCTGCAGGCTCCTGCTCCCCTGGGTGTGGCCCACAGTCGCCTAGACCAGGTGATCGCTCGGCTCCACCCTTCCCCTCTCATTTCAGCCGCGGACCAGGAAGCTTCTTACCAGCGGGGTCTGGCCGCGGCCAACCAGTGGCTCCTTGGGGCCTTAGCCTCTTCTACAGTGTCTCGCCAGGATGGTGCCGCCACTGAGTTCTTGAGTTGGCTTTCCAGCCATGGCCGTGGTCGGAACTGGTGGACTTGTACATCCGACGATGTGCTTGTTTACATGACGGCTTGGTGGTTGCCTCGACATCAGGGCCGAGGTGGTGGCCCCGCTGGGCCTGCGGCTGTGAAGTCCCACCTGTCCACCTTGAGCGGTTTCTTCAGCCGTGTGGGCCGGGGTGGTCGTTTCGATGTCTCTACAGGCCAAGGCAACCCTTGTGATTGCATCTGGGTCGAGGATTTCCGCGCGTCCTATCAGCGGTCCCAGGTCGCCACGGGTTACACCGAGGTTTCGGCCGTACCCTTGTCATACAGCAAGTACCGTGCCCTCGTGCAGTACCTGTGGTCGCAGGTGGCGGTGACTGATGAAGCTTTGCCTCGATTGGTCTTCCTGCGGGACCTGCTGTGTGTGCTTCTCCTGTGGCAGACTGCCCAGAGGGGTCACGATATCGGGAAGCTGGGGGTGGGCGACTTCATCGAACCTTCCCAGCCCCACCGACCATACTCTGGGTTCCCATTACCTCCGCCATGGTTCTGGGGCCCTGGTATGGGCCCTATCCTCTGCTTCCGCCAGCGGGGGACTAAGACCTACCGGCTGGTGCATGCCCCCCCGGTGCTGCTGCAGCCCAACAGTTTGGAGCCCGCCTTTTGCATCCCGCGGATGCTGGCCTTGTACATGTGGTCCTGTGCCCAGCCTGGTGCCCCTCCTGGGAGTGCCGTCCAGGACACGCTGTTCCGCCCACTGACGGCGGACCAGCGGGCTTTTAAGGTGGAAGTGCTGCAGAGTGCCACTCTCGCCGCGCGGTTATGGCTACACCTGCGGGCTGCCCAGTTGTACACCAGGGAAACGGTGCATGGTTTCCGCCGTGGTGCCCTGCAGGCCGTGCGTCAGCCGGTGCGGGGGTTCCTGCCCTGATGGAGTTCAGCCAGCTCCGGACTCTGGCGGTGCTGGAGCGTTACCTGGATCCCCATCGTCATGACCACAATGTGCAGCCCTGCAACTGAGTGTCTGCTTCGCATCTTAGCGGTTTTTCGACTGCTAGGCGATTTACTTTAGTCACCGAAGGTCTCTGGGCTTTACCCCTAGGGTGACTGGCTGTGTGGTCTTGTCGCTCGCCCCACCCCAAACTACACAAGGGGGGGACGGGAGGGGTGTAGTTTGGCTGGCTCCTGGTTGTCTCTACCCGCTACCATAGCGAAGAGACGTTAAAATGGTAATGAGAGAGAGAACTGATTTGCACGGATGCTCGGTATGTTGGAGCTCTCTTGCTGTCATACCACCGTTGTTGCAAGCATTTAAGTCTCTGTAAGTGCTTGAATGTAAATGCTCGTCGCTCCGTACTGGACTAGCATGAAGTGGGCCTTTGCATCTAGCCTTACACCCGATGCCAATGTTTAATCAGGCCACACCACATCCCAGCCACACCGCCTTGCGGCTCGTCTGCCAGTCTCAGCCTTGTCATGTCTCTGGCTTCCTTGGGTCCTCGCTTTCACTATCGTCCCTGTCGTACTCTCACGCCTAGGCACCTTGCCCTTTACCACAAAATGTACACTACTTCGACCGCGTAACTCGGGGCCTTCGGTTTCCTCTCTGCGCCGCCTGGGACCTGGGGACCCGGCCTGAAAAGCGTGGGACTGTGTGGCAAACGCCTCCACGCTTTGATGGGTAACGTTGCCAGCCTAGCTCTCCACCATCGTGGCCAAACCGGTGTGATCAAGACGCAGTCCGGCTTCTCCTCAGCAATCTTGTGCACTACTCGCCCCATCTGGTCGAACGGGGGGTTAAGGTACAGGATGCCCTGGCGGCTCCACTTTCCCCAGTCTTGGGTGAAGGCATCCACCGCTAGGGTGTGGGGGCTCCAATAGCGTGCAAAGAAGCACCCTGGTATTTTCATGGAGAACTCATCCGCAAAAACATCTACCACAGGCCTGCATCCTTTCAGGCATGGCTCCGCCCACAAGCTTGCAAACACCGTGTCGTTCAAGCACCACTGCGAGCTGTCTTCGAACTTGGAGAGCATGTCTGCGTACTGCTGTTGCTGTTCCGAACGGGGATGCCAGACCAGCTGCACCTCCAGGTCCCAATCCACACACTTCATGTACAGCTCATCTACTTGCTGCAGGCACAAGCCCTGCCCTTTCATACCTAGCACACACAGGGTTGCGGCCTGGCTGTCGGTGTGATACTGCACCGACCTTCCTGCTAGCAAGTGCGGGCCCTTGCACTTAATCCAGTCGAGCGCTAGCACTACCGTGCGAAGTTCCCGTTCCGTGCTAGACATTTCCCCCCGGCCATGCGCTCTGACTCTTCCGGGGTGAACGGCACTCTCATCTCGCTCGCTTCTCCCTCCCCTAGTTGGCGATCCAGTAGGTAAGCGGCGTAGGCTTTCTCAGAGGCGTCCCCTGCCACTCTCAGCACCAGGGCTGGACCCCGTCGCCACCACATCTTACCGTTTTGAGGCACAGCAGGGTGAGGAAGAGCCGCGCTCTGGAAAGGAAAGTTGCCGGGTCCCCCACCGCTGCATCCCAGTCTGCTGCTCCTGCTGCCGCCCGCCCAACCACACTCGCATGGAGCGGCACCGTAGCCACCGCCAGGCTCATGGCCATGATCTGTCCGGCCAGCCGTGCCACCTCCCTGGCTGTGATTGAATTCGGTCCCGCGGTCTCCAGATGCTCGACCAATTCGGCCAGCTGGCGTACTTTGTCCTCACGTACTTCGAATACCTCACACGGCATGTCGACAATGAAGCCTAAAAACTTGATGCGGTGGGACGGTCGCAGCTGGCATTTCTCGAGGCTCAGGGTGAAACCCAGAGCCATGAGGAGGTCGACGACTGCTCGGCACAGGTGTTGTGCTGCCGTGAGTGCCCACACTGCCACCGTGCAGTCATCGATTAGGTACACCAGGTCTAAGCCTCGCTCCTGCCTCGCTCCTGTTTCAGCAGGCTGTAGACCCAGCAGGCTGGGGTGAAGCCAAACGCCATTACGAGCCAGTAGTGTAGGTCGCCACCCCATTCAAAAGCGGCCAAGCGGTACATGTCCGGGTGCAGCAGTAGATTCTAATAACCGCTTTTGTCATCTGTTGTGAAGAGGAAATCGTCCTTTCGCAGAAAGCCTGGCAAGTCCGAGATGTGCTCGTATTTTAGCGGCGGGATCTCCATGAAGAGGTTAGGGTACATGGGGTTCATGCATAGGTGCAGCTTCTTGCCTTCTACCACCCGTAGGCCATTGACCACTGTCGGTGGTCCCCATTCTGAGGGCCACTTGCGCATCACCCCCATGTCCAAGCATTTCTGGATTTCTGATGTGACAAATGCGCTATGCAGGTTGGTGCTGTGGTGGTTGGGGAACTGGATGGCATGCAGCATTCTGCCGGTTATGTAAGTTTCTGGGTCCACCTTGTGGCCAGTGGCTTGTCTGATCATTTGGAGGACTATACAGTGCTTCTTGCGGCGCTGTGGGGGAACAGAGGGCCCCAAGCTGGGCGTTCCCACCCAGGTGAAGTGCACCCCTTCCTCTAAGAAAGCTAGCACTAGGCGCTGGTTGCAAGTTAGTGATTGTGTCCCGTTGTGGAGTTCGAAGTAGCGACACCATAACGGGCTGCATGCTCACGGGAGACCTGGCTGGAACTCAGCTGGGTTTCGAGCTGCACTCCGTGCTTCCTGTTCGAATGTCGCTTTGGGCGTCAGTGGTGTGTCCGAGGTCTCAGCCTGTGTTGCCGCGATAATACCGAGCCATGCCCGGTTCAGCTGTTCTGCTGCGCGTGGTAGGTCCATCTCGGGTGGTGCAGGCAACGCGATATCGGGCAGAAAGGTGTTGGTGACAGGCACTTTCTTAAAGAACATCAGCAGCGTGTCTTCTTCCGGGTCGCACCTTGGCCGTCTAGCTCGGGTGTTAGGGGGTCTGTCCCAGGCTCATCTTCAGCCCCGTGCAATCTCTTGCCCATCCCGATCTGACTGGGGTCTGGGTCTAGCGTTCCTTTTTGCGCTCTCTCTGGGCAGTCGCTACTCCCAATCGCCGTCGGCAGCCAAAGTCAAGGTAACAGCCAATCAAACGCCTGCGCCTTACCAGGTCTAATGATAGCAACGAGATGCCGTGGCCCTCTCTTCCCAAGCGCCACATCCACAAATCACGCCTTCCTACCTCCACACTAGGTGTCCTAACACTAGGTCCACCCTAGCTTCCCGTACTATTTCGCCAAGTACCGCTTAGCCCCCGCCAAATCTGGGCCCTGCCTGTCTCTTTGCCGCCAACTCAGTCACCAAGCACCCTGCTGTCTGCTGGAGGTTGTCATGCACGAGTTTGCAGCCTGGGGCCCCGCCATACGGGCATTGCCTCCCCAGGAGTGCCACATTGCAGCAAATTGCTGGACGAAAGGACTTGGCTGTCCAGAACATGGTGTCGCTGTCCTGGCACAGCTCTGCCAGATGGTTACACCTCCGGAGCTCATCTTTCACTGTGTCTAGGGCCGCCTGCCACGGTGCGGGCCCTTGCCTGCCGCGCCCTGCTTGGGTGCCGTTTTGGCGGCCCCCGCCCTGTCGGCCCTCCCCCCCACCAGTCCCGTTGCTGAACCTGCTCCTTGTTCCGGCCGCCTGAACTCCACCCATCGCCCCACCCTGGGGGCTATCCAGGGTGCGTGTGCACCCAACATTGCTTGCTTGCCAGCCACTGTGGTATTGTGCAATGATGTGTGTTGGTCGCAAAAGCTTGACCATTTCTTCCACTCGCTCCAGCAGGCGCCACAGGCAGCCCAGTTGTGGGCCGAAGCCTTTTGCCCACATTTCTTCAGTCATACATGCATTGCATACGGTGCATCTGGTGAGCTCGGATGCTGCGGCCAATAGCCATGCGTGTTGCGGGGCATCTAGTTGGGGGTGGTGCAGGTCCAGCAGACCTAAAGTGCAGTCGGCCATCTCTAATCTGCCCAGTAGGGTGGCCAGCCTGTTGCTGACCATGAGGACATCTGCATTGTAGGTCGCAGAATAAGCGGTTAATGGGGTGAGCAGCTCTTGCAGCTTCATGGTTAGGCGGTCGGCCACCCACTGGGTGTATGACAGTCCCACTGGGCCCGTCAACACTGTCGTGAAGTCACCGATGAGGGGCTCTGCTGCCCCCCGGATGACTGCCTCCACCGCACTCACGACACTCATTAACGGGGCTCGGGCGCCTAGGGACATTAATACGCCGCCCACAATAGCGTCCACCAGGTGGCGTGTATGTGTAGTGCCATCCATGCTGGCGTTTGCCTCCCAATCCCGTGGATGCGGGTTGCAGCTGCCGCAGCTCCGGCATCATTTCAATCTTGCGGGTACTCACACCATGGGCATCGGACTCTACTGGTCCAAAGAGCACGTTACCGAGGAGGAGCTTACCTCCCGGCTGGGGCAAACTGCCTGGCTCCGCCTCTTGGCCCCTGTGGCCCTGCACCAGTGCTGGGCTGGCCACCATGTGTGGGGCGCCTTTCTGAGTGAACAGTATGCCCATATTGTCCCAGCTGAGGTTGCCGGTTGCCGCCGGGTATGAGTTGCTGTTCTCACGTTGTCTTGCCATTGCTGGGTACTCCTGACATTCCCAGTCGGGAAGGGGCGGTAAGCCAAACACCAGCCTCAGGGTTGCTGTGGCCATCCCACTCCATGACTCTGCTACCCGGGTTCCCGTTCACAGGCAGCCCCAGGGGCCGGGCTGCCTGTCACCCTTCCAGAAGGGTGGGAAACTGGGCCCCCATGGGCTTGGGTTCCTGCCCACCACCTAATGGTGCGTTTCCGCACTTCACAGCCAAGAACGTGCCATCAAGGTCCAGAATGCCTGCGGCATGCGCCACCAGCAGCCCCTCTAACCTGTGCTGGTGGAGGATCTGGTAGCACATATTAGTTTAGACCAACCGCCGAGCTTGCCACCCTGCAGCGCCTGCAGCCAAGGGCTGGGAGCCTGCTGCCCTACCGCCCTCGTCTGCTGTCGCCAGAAACTGATCCACTGGTGGCGCTTCAAGTGGAGTTCGGGTTCTCAGGCCTTCCCGGGTTGCTTTGCCAAACAGGTCTCAGTGGGCAGGGTTCCGGTCTGCCGGGTAGGCCGCTGCTTTCCACATGGTGAGGAGGTCGACTGCAGCCTTCACACCTGTGGCTTGTGCTCTTCCTGGGGTATCTAGGTGCTGTTGCCTAGCGGCAGGCGAACATGCTGTCGGCAATCCCAGAAGTTGGACTGAGGGCATGTGCAGGGGTGACCCTTTCCCCAGGCCACGAGGCACTCTCGGGGGTCCCACTTGGCGGGAATTTCCAGAATCTGGCCCCTGGTTGGCTGCTTGTTGGTCAGTCAGTAGGTTCACGTGTGCAGTGGTGGGGGCCTCTTCCAACCCCACCACGCGTCTCTCACGACCTTCCAATGCGATGTCTCTGCTCTCACGCCCTCCTGCCCCTCGCTCGGGTGAATGACTCGACGGGCCGCCATCACACAATTGAGGATCTCCCCTTTCCGGCCGTTCATGTTGTGCCACGGTTGCTTGCATTAGTTGTGCTATGGGGTGTGTCTCCTTGGTCGTCGGGGGTTTCTCTGTAGGCTTGTTGGAGTTGTTTTGCATGCATGGTGGTCTCCTGTAGGGATGGAAAGGTGGTGCAGGCCACCAGGGTTTGGTCTAGCCCACCCCGTCTTGCCTCGCCATCTTAATATCGGGTGTGCTAATTCAAGTCCGCTGAATATTGTGGCGCAATTCGTGTAAGGGATTACTTCGCACATTGTCGGGTCTGCTTCCGACTTGCTATGAGTCGGCCTCTGGCTCGCTAGGGGGTCAGCCTCCGGTTCACTAGGAGGGTCAGCCTTCGGCTCGCTGGGAGGGTCAGCCTCCAAGTCGCTAGGGGGGGAATCAGCCCCCAAAATCGCTAGGAGGATCAGCCTCCCACCGCTAGGGGGATCAGCCCCAACTCGCTAGGGGGATCAGCCTCCCACTCGCTAGGGGGTCAGCCACCAGCTTGCTAGGAGGATCAGCCTCCACTTGCTAGGAGGGTCGGCCTCCAAAACACTAGGAGAGTCAGCTCCCGAAGGAACACTAATAGGATCGGCCTCCATAAACACTAAGAGAAACCGCCATGGTCTACCTCCTAATTGCTAAGGTGGTCAACCTCCGCATCACTAGGTGTCGGTTCCACATCACTGGAGGGAACAACTGCCACCGTGTTGCTAGGGTTGGAGCCGCGGGATGGATCCGTCCCTGCCTCTACACGTGACAAGTTAGGCATACTCCGTCAGGCAAAGCATGTTTTCTCGCTGCTGGGGTACCGCTTCTCCAAACGGGACGTAATCTCTCTCACGTTGCCTAGTTCGCGTTGCATTGCATTTTTGAATCAAAGGGTGTGAGTGTGCGCTGCCGCGTTCTTTACCCCGCCGGTCTCTCAAACTAACCACTCACCGGTCTGTCTGGGGGATTGATCTCCTCCCCGTCGCCTTCAATCGCGCGCCTCGCCAGTGCCCACTACGAGCAAGTCAAAATGACAAGGTCAGGAAAGTCAGATGGGGGTGGACTGAGGCGGGTGCTCTGTCGTCGCTTCATTGCGGTAAATTATTTCGCATGGATGACTTGTCGCTCTTCCTGGTTTGTCCGACTGGTCCGTCGGTCGCTGCTTATTAAATGGGTCGGTCGACCCGGTATGCTTGCTTGCCTTTCTCTTCAGCAGTTGCCCCAGCTGGCACGAATTGAGATAACAGGAATGCTGTTATTCGCTTAAATCCTGACGAAGGCGAGAAACGCCCTCAGTCGCGCCTTCTCTCAGCCGGTCAACCCGCCGACACCACTCTTGTGGCCCAGTGCCGCTGACAGGGACAAAGCCTGACAAATAAAGAACCTCATTCTCCATTTCTGGGTACGCTTCGTTGTTTCTTGTCCACGGCGGGTCGGTGTAGTTTGGCTGGCTCCTGGTTGTCTCTACCCGCTACCATAGCGAAGAGACGTTCAAATGGTAATGAGAGAGAGAACTGATTTGCACGGATGCTCGGTATGTTGGAGCTTTCTTGCTGTCGTACCACCGTTGTTAAGCAGCCCCTCGCACAAATGTGTCCGGTCGTACTGTGCCGAATAAACCGTTCGTACAAGACGCCCCAAAAGCCAGGCGTGAAATTTACCGCGCGGATGCGCGCGTGCGATTCTCAAAATGCGCGTGTACAAGTGTATGTAATTTTTTCGGTGAAAGGCCACGGTGTGCCAGCACGCTGCACAGTAGGGCATGTTGGCCACAGTCGCACACGGCAAGCAGGCCCGGAGGAATAGGTGGCTGTTATGATGTAACTGGAAGCTTACAACTTTGCTTGCAAGACGGGGTCATGAAACGGCCACGGGAAGAGGAAGCGTCTGGTGAAGCGGCACTTTTGCAAAAGGAAAGGCGCCTGCTTTTGGTAGTGCAACGCATACAGTGTAACGATGCTAGGTCCCTATAGGGTACCGCGTCATATACTAACTAACTCAAGGAGTTAGAAGTCCACAATTTGGTGGTATTGAAGAATACCGTTTTTAGGTAAAGATCAGTATTTTAACTGAGTTGGACGCTAGTGCCATAAGGCCCTATCGTACAAGGAACGCCTTTGGCGTTAGTTAGAGAATACTTGATTCGGACGAGCGGCCAATGGGCCTAACGTCCTTACATTCCCCCCCTCTTGAATGTGAACCCGTCCTCGGGGCGCCAGTTGGGGAGGGGCCTCTTAGGGCAAAGGTACACCCTTGGCGTACAACTTGGCGTGATAGGCTTCGACCGCTTTGGGGCAGCCTCGACGGCAGTCTTGGGCCGTCTCCCAGGAGTCGTACTCGGGGCCGTGGTTTTGCCAGCGGACCAAGTACTCGACGAGGTGGTGACGGCCAGAGCCGCTCACACGGTGTGCGTGGATTTCTTCAGCAAACCACATAGGGTCGCCTTCCACTGCAGGGACCACCGGTGGAGGTGGTGCATTGCTGCTTTGTTTAAACTGTCGCAGCAGGGACATGTGGAAGACATTGTGCATGCACAATGCCTCCGGAAGTTGCAGGCGGACTGCAGACTCGCCCACCATGCTTAGGATGGGAAAAGGTCCAATGAACCGTGGCATGAACTTGCTGCATCCTTTGGCATTAGGTGCCTTGAACGTTATGTTCTTGGAGTTTAGCAAGACGTATTGCCCGACTTGGAAGTGGGCTGGTCGGCGATGCTTGTTGGCATGCTGAGCCTGTCGTTGCTGAGCGGGGTGTAGGGCCTTTTTGGCCTTGTCAAGACGCGCATGTAGGGCGTCAGCGAGTTCGTCGACTGCAGGGTGTTTCGTTTTGAGTGGAAGCCCGTAGTCGTCCGGCATTCGTGGATGCCGTCCGTACATGAGGTAGAAGGGCGTGTAGCCCGTGGCTTCACATGTGCTGTTGTTGATGGCGAATTCCGCCGTGCATAGGTGTTCGGCCCAGTCAGTGAGTTCCGGCCCTACGTAATTGCGTAGCACCTCTTGCAGAACGCGATTCACATGCTCAGTTTGTCCATCCGTTTGAGGGTGGAACGATGTGGAAAGCAGCTGTTTAAAGTGCAGTTGTTGGGCTGTGTTGCGCATTGCTTGCACAGTGAACCGCGGGTCGTGATCAGACAGTAGGAAGTCAATACAGCCGTGTTTGCAGATGATTTCATCATGCAAAACTTTTGCGAACTGGATCGTAGTGATTAGATCGTGTGTTGGCACGAACGTGACGAATTTCGTCAACTTGTCGACAAAGATGCAAATGGCTGTGTGGCCATCCTTGGTGGGCGGAAGCCACATAATAAAATCGCAGGACACCACCTCCCAGGGCCGCGTAGGGATGGGCAGGGGTTTCAGCTCTCCGGCTGGCTTGCGGTTGTCGGCTTTGTTGTGCTGGCATTGCGGGCACTCATGTACATAATGCTGTACAGCACTGTACATGCCTGGCCACCAGGAACGTTCGTTAATGGTGAAGAGTGTGCATGCAACACCGTGATGGCCTGCCAAGGGTGTGTCATGATATGCATGCAGAATGTCTGCACGCAGCTTGGGGTCATTGGGCACGATAATTCTGTTGCCCTTGAACCACATTCCGTCAGCGAACAAAACCGTGCCCCACTCGGGGTCTGGTTCAGCAGGCATTACTGCCCGCAGGCAGTCGGCTAAGTTTGGGCCCTGAGGGCTGTCGTCGGTAGGCATGCCAAGGTACATCATGGCTGCGACCGCCTGTTCTGGCGCGTGAATGCGCGACAGGGGATCAGCAACGTTCTTACGACCGGGCCTGTATTCCCACGTGTAGTGGAATCGGCTGAGGAATTCTTGCCAGCGAGCTTGGCGCCGGGAGAGGTCTTTCTTGGTTTCAAACCAGATGTTTGGGTGGTGGTCGGTGACCAGCTTGAAGGTTTCTTGCGCCGTTTCGAGATATGGATGCCACTCTTGTAGAGTGGCTTTGCGGGTCTTTGCTGAAAATGAGGATATCATCCAGATAAACCACGCAGTAGCCAGCATCGATGTGCTTCTTGAGCACGGTGTTCATGACCTTTTGGAAGGTTGCTGGGGCGTTAGTCAGCCCGAAGCACAGTACTTTGTACTGGAACGTACCGAACGGCGTGACAAAACTGGTTTTCGGAATGATTTGATGGTACCCGCTTTGCAGATCCAGCGACGAGAAGAGACTCGCGCCCTGAAGCTTGTTCAGGAGGTCCGTGATGTTAGGTAGAGGATATCTGTTTTTTATCGTGATTTTGTTGAGTGCACGGAAGTCAAGGCACATGCGGAGCGTACCGTCCTTCTTCTGAGCGAAGAGTACAGGCGCGCCGAATGGCGACTTCGATTCCTCAATGAAGCCTTTGGCTATGAGATCGGCGAGCTGTTTTTTTGGGCGGGGCCCCAGCGCGAAGCGCCCAGGGGGGCCCCGACCTGTAGGATTGCCCATGTCCGTGTGTGTGTGTGTGTGTGTGTGTGTGTGTAACGGACCAAACATATCTCGCCCGGCTGAAACGCGTTGTAGGTACTATACAGCATTCTCTATTGCAAGGTATCTCGCATGTAGCCAACAAAAATCGTATGAGCACAAACAAGTTTGGCTGCCTCAATTGACCGAGGCCAAAGTCACATCAACGCCTCTCGCGCTAAATTTCATCCCGAAAGGTACCGCGTATCTCATATTTGAATTCTTAGATGACGGCGTATGACAACTCGAACTCCCATGCCTTGAGTGTGTAACGGATCAAACATAATATTTCACCCGGCTGAAACGCGTTATCGGTACTATACAGCATTCTCTACTGCAAGGTATCTCGCATGTAGCTAACAAAGACCGTATGAGCACAAACAAGTTTAGCTGCCTCCATTCACCGACCTCAAAAGTCACATCAACGCCTCTCGCGCTAAATTTCATCCCGAAAGCTGCCGCGTATCTCATAATGGAATTCTGAGATGACGGCGTATGATAACTCGAACACCCAGCTTGTGTTACCATTTGCCGGCATGAGCAATCCGACATGCCACCAGCAGGCCAACAAATTTGC